ATTCAACCGCTCAACCACTAGATGTCGCTGAAAACAACAAATCCTACACACTGTGCCTTTAAAAGCAAAAGTTTAGGCTAGTATGAAATAAGCTGTAAGATATTGTAAACTAAACAAAATAATTTCCATAACTAATTGGAACAGTTCACCACATTTATTGTATACAAAGGTGAGGAATATTTGAGGTTTTCAAATGCAATTTTGACCAAAAACTTCATTCAACAACAATGAAACAATCATTTCATGATGCAGAAATTGTTTGGTGTTTTCCAGTGTATTATGCTGGTATCATGTTGACAACATATGGGTTTCTAAAAACTTCCATGGTACCAAGTTTAGCTAAAAAAAGTCAGTGATAATTAACAACATACTTTAAATCGTATCCTTTGTGGATTAATTGTACATTTTATGACACCAAMATAAATTGGAAATAATAAAAAGCTAAAGAGGGAAGGAGCTTAATGAGAACCTCATGTAGCTAAAACAGATTGAATTTGAGTTTCTGAGGGGGTCARTGTCATGGGTTTGGGGGTCTTGTTTCTCTACTCTTTTTCACAGCTGTCAATCAACACATTGGTTCCTGTTTTGGTCCTCCTCGTATATTCCTTCTGTTTCTATTCATTCATTGCTAGTTTGTTCTTGTTTTAATACCACCTTTATTCTCAGTTCTGTGCCGCCGAACTTCATTTCAACGTTTGCATCTTTTTTCTCTTCTTCTTCCTGTAGATTTTTGGGCACCTGTCAAATAACTTTGGGCCTCGGTCATAAAGGAGGTTTATGTTCTTTTGCCTCAAAACGATRAGACTAATGTAGGATTGAGCTGTTTTTTTCCCCCCATGATATAGTGTTCCCTTCTACCTGCTGCTGCAACACCCATCAAATAGGATGGTCATGTTCAGGGAAAAAAAAGTGACTTGTACTATTTTAAATAACTGGTTTTATTTGGCCATCAACACAATTTTAAAAATGGTGTGTATTTTGAAGTTTCTACTTCTAATACAAACTGAAATGGGGTCTCAGAGAAGGCACATCTTTCTGGCTGGAGCAATTTAAACAGGTAATACGGCTAGGTAGGGTTAATATACCATCCTAGCTTTTAAATACTGTCACCATATGTCAATACAAGGTATACCACAATACCGTCATGCCACCCAAGCTTAGTATCACCTTTAGTTTCTTTTATATCAATAAAACTCCAGGATCTGCTCATTCAATTGCCTTCAGAGCTTCACATCTGGGTCCTTCACCCAAACCAGCAATTTCCTGACATTCAGTAAGGTCTAAAATATTGTTGGCAGTGATTTCTTTGGGTTTCCAGGTGTGAGGCCGTCCACGGATCAAGCTTCTTCCAGCACATCCAGCAGACGCTTGACTGGATTATAACCAGTTGCATCTGAAGGTCAGGTCTATCTTAGGTTTGCTATTGGATTACTCCAGCAGTTTTCTGCCCAATCTTCGCGGTGAATCACATTGCTCCGCACAAGGTTGCTGCTGCCGGGGAGTTGTGTTGCCACGGAGGTGTGCTTGGTTTGCAGCAGCCTTTATTTGGGTGTGATTTATCAAAATAACATTCAGATAAATGCCAACCCCTGAGGTTTTTATTTTATTTATTTATTTATTGTAGAACAGTATCGTAACAAGATAATCTATGTAACTCACTTTTACTGATGTGCTCGACTGGAGTATTGGATTTTTATCCACAGTTTTGTAGCCGATGCATTTAAACAAGACAGTTGTAGACAGAAATGAAGAGTCAGAGTTAATTCCACTTACATGTACATGGGTTGTAGCTGGAGGTGGGAAGTCTTCTGAGGACCTTGGTAACCATAGGAGTCAAATCCTCCTATAAAATCAACTGCACACACAAAAAACATTAATTAAAATAAGCCTGAAACATTTGCTTTTTTCTACTATGAATCACTTATTTAGGCTTTATACACCTACAGAAGGGTAATTAGAACATCTTGTGCTTGAACCACCGTCTTTCAGAGTTGCAGCATAAAACTGCATGAACCCACATGAAAAAAAAACTTCAGTTTAAGTCTATTTTTATGACTAGGACTGAGCAAATATGCAGCAATATATTTATGTTTATGAAGTGCACTTAAGTCTTAAATTATTTTGGCTGGCTCCACTGATTTGTGAGTCAAGGAGCTGCTGGCAGGTGGTTGTTTTACTCAGTTTAAGGCAGGAAAACCTGGAACATCCAGAACAGGAAGTTTGCTTTTCTTTTCTTTGATAGTGCAGAGCTCACCCAAAAAAAAAATAAAAATAAAAACTCCCCACGCCTTGATCAGCTTGACACTTGCTCATTTATTCAATGAGATTTCACAGCATCGAMAATGTAAAACTTGGATTTCTCTGTAAGAATATTTTTTCTTTTCTTTTCCTTTTTTTTTATAAAATCTGCAATAACACTGGAAGATAACACACTTGTGATGTTGCTCCAAGCACAGACAGCTTCCTCTACCCCCCAACCCAACACCCTCCATCCCATTCCCATCAAAAAAGCACTGATTACCAGTGTTGACAGTGAAGTGGTACAGCATAATGACTTGAAACACCCAATCACAATTACTAAAATTTAAACTCTAACCGTTCATTAACAGGCAATTTTCGACTGTGGTACAAAAAAAGGCAGCCATTTGCCTCAGTTTGTTTGTGCAACATTACATTATTGTCGCACAATGAATGGCTGATGAAACAAATCACTGTTTGTCCACATATTGGTAATAGATGCAGTAAAACGGACTATTTCGAAGTATCGGGTCAAACAGCATGCAGCTAAAAGGCAAAGAAACCCAGAGTTGGCAACATTGAGCCAAAAATCCCTTTGTGAAAATAAAAAAGCCTAGACTTAATCAAATAAAATAAATCTGCTGAAGGAATCTTAATACTTCAACAAACCAAGACATTTGGAAAAAAATGCTTCAAAATTTCTGCACAAAACAAGAACTATAAAAACATGTGGAAGAACTTGACTTTGGGATGAACTGGAAAGCAGCCAGAGCTGCTCAAACAATGATGTGAAAACATCCCAAGAAAAGTGGAAAACGTTGACCAACTTCATACAGACCCTTGGGMGGCTGTGGCAGAGCGGTTAGGGGTGTCGTCCTGGAACCGGAAGGTCACCGGCTCGATTCCCCATCCAGCTGTCTCAGTTGTTGTGTCCTTGGGCAAGACACTTAACACAATGCCTCTGATGTGTGTCCCATCAGTGTATGAATGTTATTGGCACTGATTAACCTCCATAGTTGATTGTATATATTAGCTTTGTAGGAGATCTGGTAGAGTGCTGTGTGAATGGGTAAATGAGTGGTGTGAAGCACTTTAAGTATCCTGGTTGGGTAGTAAAGTGCTATACAAGTACAGTCCATTTACCCTGTTGGTCAAATTTCTTATTCATATAGTGTGTATGTTAGCATAGAGGTTAACCCCGAAAGAAAGTTTGATGATATGGAAACAGTTCTAATATCAGGCACTAAAACACATACAATGACTCATCAAAAAAGCAGAATTCAGTCTGCATGCATGTTATTTTCTTAAAAACTATCCAAAAGTTGCATCTTATTTAAAGCATAAAAAACTGGACAGATAAAATCATGTTTTAGCTGAAATGGGAGGTAGACTATTTGTTCACAGAATTTCAAGGCGTTTAATCGACTTAGAGACACTGTCTGCCATGAAGGATTTTAATACGTCGCCACTACAACATGTTGCACAAAGCTAAATATGAGAAATTTACTGAAGTCACAARTACAYAAACAACAGCAACGTTTTTACCAGAACCAGGCAKGAGTCTGCACTCAAGGCAACTTATGCCATTTCATTTTAGCTCGCTAAAGTTAACAAGTGTTTGTTTTATGTTTGCTTCAAACATTTTGTATTCTTATTTATTCATGCATTTGAGCATGAAATATTTAAAGTTACTGCACTGTTATTTATACACAATTTTTTAAATGGCTTTTTTATTACATACTGTATGGGTAAGTTTTCTTTGTTAACTTGTAGGTGTCGACACAAAACTGGTTCATGCTTTTGGTTCAGTTTTATATGCCTGACTGATTTATAGATCCGCTGTAAGTGACTAAACAACAACAAAAAACATTTAAAAATAGTTTTAATCATGATTTGGTAGAAAATAGATTGACATTTCTTCTAGTAATTCCCTGTGTTTTTTCTTTTCTTTTTCTTTTTGAACGGTTTCAGCTGAAACTGTGTGTCCACTCCGACAGTGCAGAGGCTCTCATCATGCTGGTTAAACTCCTTCTATCTGTGGAGCTCTTTTCTGGGAGAGTGTCTTGTTGTAGACGGTGGAGCATTCCTGCTGATTCATGCTGCAGTCAAATTGTCTCTGCAGACTTTCTTCTGCGCTCTATCCTCTAAAACATTAGAGAAAATGGAGCCTTTAAACCTGTCACTGTGCTGCCAGTCAATCTTTCAAGTCGCAATTTAGATGTCGGATATGATATTCATATGGCTCTAGCTTAACCAAGTCTCTCTGGAATAAGAGAATATTTGGATTCATATTTTTATCTGACACTTCTGAGATAAGAATCTGACACTTCTGAGCTGCTTTGAGAGTGACTATAATGAATATCACACACGCACGCACACACAAACACAATAATTATTGGAGTAATTAGCTTTCTCAGCAATTCAAAGTCTTCATCGGTCCTTAGTGAGTATTAGCTCCTTCACCCGAGGCACATTTCTCCCACAAAGCTGCCTGATTAGTGTTTATTCTTCCAGACTGCATTACGACGCTGCTGTTTCCACCGACACGTTCAAGACTTCAGGCTCAGCGGCAAGGAGATTACAACTAATCCCAAAATTATTCCTGAGAAATTAAGCAAATGATGCCTGTGACTCGTTTTAATACTTATTAGACGCTAACGGTGGCCAAGAAAACCCCTCAAATTGATTCCTGTGTCTGTCTGGATGATGGCGTTCTGTTAAGAGAGAAGCTGCTGTTTGCTTTTTAAGGGTTTATTGTGAAAAGTGAGCAATCACAATGGTGTTTTTTTTCCTGTATGTTTGTTAGCAAAATATTTTGCGAACCAGTGAACAGATTTTAATAAAAAAACTGCCAATATGTTTTTAGGTCAGCCCAGTTTAAGATGGGCGCCACAGCTAATCGACCCTAGCGAACACTAAAATGGTTACAACTTCATCATTTTTTACAGTTATTGAGCTAAAGATTGGTGTGGTAGTAGCTGAGATTCATCCTCAACACACACTCCAAAGATTTTATGATTGTATCAGATCTTTTTTTAAAATATTTCACATTGATTGTTGCAATTAATTTAGTCTGTTCCCATGATATCTCTTGAAACATTGGACAGTTTTAGTTGGATGTATATCTAGGGCAGTTTAAGATGACCGTCACAGAAAAATGATCTTTGCCACACAAAGTACAATTTTTGAAAATTGGACTGAATCATAGCCAATTGTTGTTTTCTTATGGTCAATTAGATGTGGCAGCCATCTTGTATCAGTTGTTGATGTACATCCAATGATTATTTTTTTAAAGTTTATTTAAAAATCCTTCACTGGTTTATGCCTCGGCCAACAGACACACATAAACAACATAAACTATCAAAAAAAAACATTATTTTTTGGCTTTGCCTTTCAGCAGTGGGAAATAAAAAGATACTTAAAGGGGGTGTGTTACGCAAAATGGAATTTTTTTTTAGCTTTATTTAATGTTATGTCATTCCCTCATCAAAAACATACCCAGAGTGTTGCTTTGACTCATTCATGCATGTTTGAGAAATCCTTGACTCTCCTGTAGCCGTGCGGAGCTGCCTAAACGCTTGCTGGTACAAAGCACCGCCTATTTACCCAAAGCTCCTCCCTGCAGCTCGGTCCCCAGCCGAGCTCCCGCCCCACAGAGCTCTCTTGTGCAATGTTGTGAAGACGTGCTGAAGTGGGAGTGTTGGTAATGGCAGGAGGTTCTTAAAGAGACAGAGGCCAATTTCAAGGTGTTTATGATGCAAAGTCAAATTTATTTTTGATACAGCATTTTCATAACAACTGAAGATAACGTAGTTACTTCATTGTGGTATAGAATAGATCTGTGTACCTGGAAAATTCATACCCCCCATTACTGTAATACTTAAAGAACATCAAAGAGCAAAAGAGGTTCTGTGCAGCCATTAATTGGCAGATGATGGATCAATATTTATCATAGCATATATTGATCCACCATCTTCCTCCAGGTAAAAACTAAAAGTATTCATCCCATGTGAAAAGTATACATTTTAAACAAGAGCAACATACAGAATTGTCTTGATAATTTGAAGCTTTTTCCTAACAACTTAGTTATTCAAGGGGAAAAAATGCATGAATAACTGCATAAATGCATATTTTAAACAGCATTGTTCCTCATCGCTAAGCATTGAAATACTCACAAAATGACTCCGCTCTTATCTAAAACTGATTCCTAGCTCCAACAGACTCTCTTCTGGGGTGCATAATAAGCAGAAATGTGCAACAATGATAGCCAAAGGCCAAAACGCAACAATTAAGCAAAGGCTAAACAAAAAAAAACTAACAACTGTTAGACATTAATTATTAATGTATTTAAGCATGGAAACAAAATACAATGTGGCAGTTTTTGGTTTACTGCCATCAACAAGCTGATTAACATGCAGTTTAAAAAAATCAGACCCGTGTTACGTTACTGTGAACAACTTTAGCTATAAGATTATTTCTCATTATGCTGTAATTTTATTAAGATAACTTGGTCACATAAAGAGTTGCTCAGCCCCAAACAGCCAATTTTATTAACTTTTTTTCAAAGACACTCTGCCGATTTCAATGCCTGATCCACTTTGGGCAGGAAGAGCAGCA